GTGCTGCGTCGATGTTGTTCAAGTTGTCCTCATGAGTCAGCGGCCACATTCTGAAAACTGGAACGTGTAAATAATTTAAGTTTTACATAATAAAAAAAGAAAAACGTTTCACAGAAGAGTGGAAATAAATCCAAAACTCAGAAAATAAAACGTTCAAATTTTATTCAATCACACCTTCTTTACAGGAAACATTCCACAAGTTCACGTCGCATGCTGGATGTCAGAGAGGTCCAACAATTAAAGCCCTTCGTTGTGACGTATAGAGAGAGCTGCACTCCTTTAACTGGAAAAATAAAAAGCTGCATCTGAATGTAGATCTTCCATGATGCAGCATAAAATCTTGATTGTGTTGCTGTAACTTTTGCAGATCAGTGAGATTTTTATCTCTGCTGCAGAAACAGAGGAAGGCCGGCTGCAGTTCACGGTCAGAACAGTTGATTTCGTTTAAAAACAATAAAAATCAGGCGCCTGACGCAACAATCAGGAGCAAAGACAAGAAATGTTCTCTCAGCAGCAGCACGAGGCACAAACATGGACCCAGACGGAACCAGAACCATTTACAGTTTGTTGATAATATCCTTTATATAAAAAAACTCTTGTTTAATGGGTTCAGTTTACACGTACCAGTTAATAGAAATATATTTTCAGAGGTTAAGAAAAAGGTTAATTTTTTTAAGTTAACTGGTATTTTTAAATAAACGTCTCCACCCGTGCAGAAACCTGATCTCAGAGCAGCGTTTGCCCTTGTGAGGTGACAAACGCACGCACGGATATAAATATGAATATTTTAAAGTCACAATGAAATAAAACATGTTCAGTTCATTTTATAATGAACCGTTTAACAACAGTTAGCCCAACAGCGACCAGATGTTTACTAAAATCTGTACATGTTTCACTGAAGGTGTCAAACGTGAGCAAGAAGATAAAACAACTGTCTCCAACGAAGAGCAGATATTTGATGCAGCGTCACAAAAAAAATGTGAAAAACTCCCCATAAATCTGATTCTCGACGAAGGTCATGAAAAGTGGGAAATCGTGTGCTGTAATTGCTGTGTGTCTGTTAGTAAAATATCTCATTAACCTCACGATGGGCTTTAATTTAACCCACTGAAAAAAGTCAACTCTCAGAGGCAGCTCAGTTCAAGATGGCTGCCACAGCTGATCGTTAGCCGACACAAACATAGCTCATTTAAATGTATAGATATTGAGCTAAACTTTGGTGCGGTGGTAGCTGAAAGTCATGCCCAACACACGCCCTGAGGGCTACCAGATTACACAAAGTCTGTTTAAACATTTGCATGCAAAAAGGCGAGCGACGTGTGTTTAATCAACTTTTAAAGTATTTAGAAAAATGTGTTTTATTTTTATTATTAAACACTGTGGGAAAATTGTTTCTTTTAAGCATTTGTACCTTCTGCAAGTCAGCTTTAGTTTTATTTAGATTTAATTCAATTTGTTGTATTATGGACTGATTCAACTGGTTATAGCACAGGTATGCAAGATGCAAAATTTTTTTTTAATATTCTAGTTTTACGGCAGCTTCCACTTCGAAAATTACATCAAAATGCAAAATTATTAGAAACATTACAAAACATTTTCTTACAAATTAATTAAGAAAAACTACATTTTACTTAGAAGAAAAAAGCCCTTTCATTTATTTGATTTTTAGCATCTATTCTTCAATTTTAGCTCAATTATGACAGGGTTTATTAAAGAGAAGAATCCAGTAATTATTCTGGTTTTATCCTTTTGCATTCTGCTGTGATCAATAAGAAGCACAAATTGGGGTTTGTTGTGCCGCAGTTTAAAAGATCTCATTGCAAAATCACGAATATGATGAAAAAATAAATCCTGCAAAGACACATCAGTGTGTGCTTAACTTGAAAATCTGCAAGCAAAAAAAAAAAAACAATCACGTTTGTTTATCTACATTCACAGCAGAAGAGACTGAAATGAGGTCAAACACGGCGTCATCCTTGGACGAGCCATTTGGAATGAAGACCTCAGTGTTGGTACGTATTGACGCTCAGATCTGCTGAGTAAAGTACGCTGATAAAAGTGCTTTGTTTACATTGAGTGCACACCCGCGTTTCAGAATGTCACATCAATACATCTAAAATAAATACTGGGAAAAACTCTTTCAAGCTGCAGTGTTGGCTAAAGTTCAGGTTTTATGTTGGATTTCATACTTTGCATCAATGATCAGAGAAAAGATAATAATTTTGTTTCTGACACATTGTTTTTATAAAAAGAATCACAAAAATATGAAAAGATATTTACTGAAACCTCACAGAAATGTTACTAAACATCCAATAGCTGCATTGTTTTAATTCTAAATACGCACATTTCAAATGCTACAGATTTTGAGCAAGTGCTGAATTTTACTTTAAACATTCTGCATACATTAATACATTAAACCCGTAAGAAGTTCATCTTTAAACAGTCTCATGTAAAAATGTTTAAAATGTGCACCCATAAAAGGCTCTTTTTGTTGCTCCGTGTTTAAACTGCAAATGCATCAAATTCAGGAGAAAGAAAACTCTCAGAAGCATAATTTTCTTCTGCCTTTACATCCAGACCACTTCTTAAAGGTTATTTTTCAGTGTATAAAAACATTTTCTGTCACCCAGCTCCATAAAAAAAAACTGGTTCAGTCTCAAGGGCAGAATGTCAGAGCTCCTGTGAAAAAATAAATTACCCTCACCAGCACAAGATGTCTGCAGTCATCATTGTCTCAGTCGATCTGCATTAAATCTGGGGCCAAAAATCCCAGAAAGATCCCAGTTTGCTTCTCTTATAACAGAAACTATCTCAAAGCACCTAAACGAGGACGAAAAGCCTCAAGTTGCCATCATTTTAAGCCCTTTCGAACGCTAAAGTTGGGATTGCAAGGCTTGTTTTTCTGTTTTACACTAATCAGAGAAGAAATAATACAAAACAAAACAAGCAATAAAGTTATAATCAAAAAGTTGTTGGAAGAAACTCTGATCGGCGTCAAAGCAGCTACTGATTTAAAGTCCAACAATATTTATTTCCATTAACCTTAATGGAAATTTATTTTTATGCAGGAGATAAATTCCAGTTTCGAAAAGAAAATTGTGAACTCGGGTACGATGGAAGTCGGTGAGAGTTTAGGTGCAGTCGTCGTCGTGTGTCTGAAAACCTAAAATTAATCACAATCAATTCAAAATGATCAAACTTGAGTTATTCAACCCAGAAAAGAGAATTGTTCAACCTAGATTGTTCCTGAAGAAATGTTGAGGCATCTAACGTTTAAAACTTAACATTTGCAATAAGAACCTGAATAAAAAGTATAACAAGAACCAAGATCACCTTGGTAACCCCTCGTCTGTATCTGTCACTCCCTGACTTAAAGACAGTAAGAAATACAGGCTAAAATATAAGCCTGAAACAGTTACTGTGCAAAAACCACGAGTCGTCGATTAAAACTTCCTGAACCGTGTGCGACAGAAGTCTGACGGTCACTCACGTGAACTCTTGTGTCTGTACAGTGTCACGTAGGAGACAGGGCACGTTAAAAAGACCCACCGTGCAGATTTGAAGTGAATTGTTTTTGTGAGGAATGATTGGTGAGAAAAGTCCTGCAGCAGTGAAAGAAGACAAAACTCCCAACGTCTTGATGCACAAACTGTTTACGTCTAAAATGCACGGATGATACCTGGATGACTGAACTTACATACCTTCTGAAATGCTTGGAAATGAAAAGAGTTAGTAAAAGTTCAGACGGGTTAAAAGCTACAATGTGTGACATCATTACTCTAACTTGAACATTCTGCGGTAAAATCGTCATTTAACTGTGAATGTGTTGAAACTATTAAAAACATCAAAATGTAGTCTAATTTTTGTGATTTTTGTGATTTTTGTCATTTTTGAACGATGTTTTTGATTTTCTGAGCTGTAGAGCTCCAAAGAGCGACGGTTTCTTTACTCGCTTCGCCCAGATCCCGTTGTCTATGGATGAGCACCACACTGTTCTGATCGAGCTGCACGTGTTGATGCATGCGTTTCTCCAAAGCAAATCAAAAATGGTGGCAAAAATTGGAGAATCGTGCACTGAAGTACCTTTATTTAAAACAAATGCTTTTCCGTTAAAGTCAGAATCTATTGTCCCAGCTGACAGAAGCTTCATTATAAGCACTGGAACAGTCATGGGTTAACTATTTTTAAAAAAACACCCGCTGACTGCAGTGAGACACAATTTTTGTTCTGATCAGCCGAACAAAGCGCCTCTGATAAACCCAAGAATGAATCTCTTCTTCTAAATACCATTATCTGTCTCCTCGCTGACGGTATAAACAAAAAAACCTGCTGACAGAGCATTGCCCCAGGTTTTCTGCTGTCTCAGAAAGTAAAGCTAATTCATAAACCAACTTTTCACACAACCCCACACCCTGAAATTCCTTCTACCACCAAAAACTTTTTAAAAAAGAAGACAGCTCCAACAGACTGCTCTGTTTCCTCTGAAAAAACACCTTAAACTCCCCAACGGGTCGATTAAATGATCATTTTCAGACAGAGCAGGCAACATGTTCAAGTGGTTCCCATTTTTTTTGCAACATTTAATTCTACCCTAAAAACACTCGGCAGATTTTTGAATCAGACTAAAGATCCTTACTTTGTCTCTTTTGTTTTATTTTTTTGCATCAGACAACACAGATTGTGTTTTTTTCTTCCATCTCGGAGATCTTAAAAGTGCAAAAGTGTTCATAAATACTCAATGATAACAATGTTTCTAATGTTCGACTTTCTTCTCCAGCATAAGACTCCATTTCGCCACATCCTCTAGCTCCACAATGAGTAGCTGAACTTTGCTGCCTTTTCCCACGTAATTTACTTTTAACAGAACCAGCAGGCACTTGCACAGGCACCTCACTGCTCCATGCAGGGGGTCCACAAGGTATTTCACTCTGGGGACCGAAACAACCTGCATCTCACTCCGAAGCTCAAATGGACTGAACCAAATCTGTTGAATTCAGACCTCACACCGGGCAGCGAGTGTCCGTTCGCAGGCTGACGGGCGGCAGGGTCTTTTTGGTGCCTGCGCAGCTAAAACAGGCCGGAAACAATGAGCCGAAGAGACTGCCGAGCCCCTTCCGGAACACGCTGTTGGACAGGCTGTAGATGAGACAGTTGCAGAAGCTGTTGCTGATGGCCAGCCATGTTGTGAGGAAGGACGCCGCGGCGTGTTGATACAGCCCGGCACTCTCCAGGAGGAAGTAGAGGATGTACGGCATCCACAGCACGTAGAAGACGCTGGTGATGCGGAACAGCACCATGGCGTATCGTTTGTCCGTGCAGCCTTCGCACCGCTCTCCCCGCTCGCCGTGGTTGCCCTCCGAGCTGAAGCGAGCATGGCGTTTTGTGATCTCCTTGGTGTGCTGGCGGCAGATCCGGAATATACTCCAGTAAGTGAAGCAGACCGTGAGCGCTGCCGGCGCATACAGCGCCACCACGATGAAGGTGCTAAACCTGGGGTTGGTCTTCCATGAGTCTGCGCACCACTGAAATATGTCCCCGTGGTACCCTGGCTTCCCCCAGTTAAAAAATGATGGCAGGAATATCAGACCAGAGTAAACCCAGATGAGGACGATGCACACCCTCAGCCGACACGGTGTCACCAGTGTGGTGTACGACAGCGGTCGGGTGATGGCGATGTAGCGGTCCACACTAATGCACGCCAGGGACGCCATGGAAACGCTCTTCAGCACAGAAATGATGTAGCCAAACATCTTGCAGGTGAGCTCCTCATTCAGGCCTCGGAGCAGGTGGAGGAGAGACAGCGAGGGCACCAGGCAGCTGACGCCCACCAGCAGGTCGGCATACGCCATGGTCTGGATGAAGTGGCCGGTGGTATGGTGATGCAGCAACGGAGCGCAGTGGAAGACAAAAATCACCACTAGGTTCCCAGCGATGATGAGCACAGCGAGGAAGAGGATGATGGCCACCTCCAGCAAGCAGGTTTCCAGACCGGGAGAATAATTAACAACTCCCAGTAGGCAGAACAAGGAAGAACCGCTTTGGTTCGCATCAAAAGACGAGTTCATGTTTGAACCATGGAGAAGGGTCAGTTTCAGCTTGGAGCAGCCATCATCCTGTCAAGCAAAGTGCCATTTTCTGAAATCCTGAACTTGTCGGTCCTGTTTGTTATTTAGAAAACAAACCGCGCCTCCCGCTCTTCTTAAATCAGCATCTTTTCTCGCTCAGCAGTCAAGGAGCCGGTCGGTACAGTGGCCGTCATCCAAGAGTGCACATGATGCAGCCAGACTCCTGCTGGGTGTGAAATATGTGTGCAACTGCAAGAGGTGGGAAAAAGGGTGAGAAAATGCCCACCACAATACAATAGATGCCGGTCTGATGCTGCAGTGCTATGTCCCCTCACAGCTGTTTACCATACCTCCTCCTCGGTCCACTACGGATCCTGAGGTAAGCACTCTGATCCGAAACAAAGCCACCAAGAAACAGACGTCCACTCTGACCCTTCAGTGCCGGCAACAAGAAAAAGGAGGTGAAAAGAACAAAGCTTTAAGGTCCCGGCATGTTCCTCACACCGAGTGTCGATTCAGACAAAGTCAAGACAAAAGCATCTTCAGAGCCACAGAGCAGGAGTCCTGAAGGATGAGGGCTCACGTCTCCAGGATCGTTTCCTCGTGGAGCTCCACGAGGCTGAGGGGCAGCTGGATGACTTCCAGAGTGTGTGAAAGGAAGAGGCAGGCGGTGAGCTGCCTCTCTGCTGTAGTCGAGGCAGACTGAAGATGTAGCTCTGCCAACAATGCTTTCCTCTCCTCCCCCTTCTCTTGATCTCACTCTTTGCCTCCCCTCCTCCCACTTTGTCTCACACAGCCGTTTTCACATTCATTTTTGCTCCTTTTGCCGTACTACGGTGGCCCTAAGGTGTAATGAACAACATTAGAAAAAACAGAATCACATTAGAAAAAACAGAATTACATTTGAAAAAACAGAATCACATTAGAAAAAACAGAATCACATTAGAAAAAACGGAATTACATTAAGCCAAACAGGAAGTTTTTGTGTTTTTTTTACTGTATTCGAGCCTCCTGGGTCTTCTTCCATGGAACCCATCATGATTCCAAATGTGATGCAGTTAGAAAATAACGTAGCTTAACCTTTCAGTTTACTTGCAGTGTTTGTAAATGGTTTTCTTGTTTGCTTGTTTTCTACCCACTACACGATCCATCTGATCAACCTGGGGATGCATTTTTTTCTTGCGTCCACCTCCTGAGAGGTTGACCACAGTGTCCTGAACTTTCTGCTTTTAATACTATTGGCAGCTATGGTAGGATGAGCATGAAGCTGCTTGGACTTGTAGCCTCATAATCTATAATTAACCTAAGCTTAAGATATAGTTGCTTTTAATTAAATCACTTTTTTATAATAACTTAAGCATTACATTGACCTGACTGAAAATTGTTGGATTTGTGTATCTGGATTATTGAACATTTCATTCAACCTTTATTTAGACAGGTTAATCCCATTGAGCCTCGAGGACTCATTTACAAGAGAGACCTGATTTCAACAAAGAAAGATGACAACAATGGACAGGTATAAAAAAGGCATACAGATTTATTTATTTATTTATTTTTTACAAATAAGATGGCAAAAAAGTAACGAAAACAGCTAGATCATAAGGCGAATGTAGAAAACTACAAACAGGAACATGTTTGCATTGGTCCTTGCCAGGAGTCCAACATGACATTTGGTGTTTTGAACCATTTTGGAATGGCTGCTTCAGAGGAGTTGACGGGGGAGAGGGCGGGCCCCAGAAACCATCTTATCACCAGAAAACTCGTTTTTTCCATTATGGGAGTGTGGTATTTGTGGGACTCCAGTTTGTTTGTGGCTCTTCGGACTGAAGAAGTCCTTTGGATGAGAGATGAAATGTCTCGGCAAAAAAAAAAAAAAGAAATTGTCCAGATGACCTGACTGAACTTTGTTGAACTTAAGCATTATTTCAATGAGCTGTAAGAGTACCAACAAATGTATCTGCGTCTTAGAATGTGTATTTTTTTGTATATTGTATTTTTAAATACATTAGTTTTATTTTGACGTGAAACATAGCAAAAGCATACAAACACCGTCACAAAGAGTGCAGTGTAAAGGTTTAATTTATTTGTATTTTGTCTCCAAAAAGGCAAACGTAATCATTTAAAGATGCCTTCTAGTTTTCCAGGCCTTCTGGATCATTTAGAATGACTCTATTAGAGCTAAAATAAAAATTTCTATCAGTCAGACTGTTTCAAAAACTGAATTAAATAAATGGGAACAGACTGTGTCTTTGTGGCAGACCGCTCTTAACAAAAAGCAGTTAGCTTAGTGACACAAAGGTACTGTTGAGACAAGCAAAACACCGTCCCATACAAAGTGTTGAGGTGAAAAATGTATTTATTAACGCATTCTCATAAATCATATAAATTGTGTTCTAGATGGTTAAAAATCCCTCTTTTGAGTCTTGCTCTAATCAGATGTGAGCTTCCCCCTCTCCCAAGAAAATGTCCCTCGATTTTCCAAACTGAGATCATTCTGACTCCTGCAGGTAAGATACTGTCTACTCACGTTTGCTCTTTATAACCCACATAAAAACCAAGAGGAATAAATGAAAGCTGGTGTTATTTTCCTAGTGTCAATTCTCAGTCACGCAGGACAAAAAAAGTCCAGTTGTCATCAATATAATTTGTTAGGATTAAGTTTCAACTCACAAAATTAATAACCTGACACCGTTTAAATGTTGCTTCTTTCAGCTTAAAGTTGAAAAAGCTCCTAGGATGAGAAAGGAAACGTCTTTAGGAACCAAACGGAAGCCTAGCTGCCAAATTTAAAAGTTTGCAACAATGAAGAAAAGATCAGGAACGGATAGAAATCAAGAGTCCAAAAAAGAAAAACATCCATCCATCATCTTTACCCGTTTCTTCCTTTTAAGGTCGCGGGGGTCACTGGTGCCCATATCCAGCAGTCACTGGGCGAGAGGCGGGGGACACCCTGGACAGGTCTCCAGTCCATCACAGGGACACATAGAGACCAACGAGACAACCATTCACTCTCTCTCTCACCTAGAGACAATTTAGAGTCACCGATCTAACATGCATGTTTTGGATCTGTGGGAGGAAACCGGAGCACCCGGAGAAAACCCACGCATGCACGGAGACAACATGCAAACTCCACCCAAAAAGGCCAGGATTTGATCCGGCAACCTTCTCACTTAGAGGCTCTACCAAATGCACCAACGTGCTGCTGAACATAAACTGCAAAATCAAAAATTTGAACGGTCTTGACCTTACAGAACAAAACGAGAAGCTCATGCTTCATAACGATGTTTAAACAACATTTGCTGGTTTTACAACATCTGTGTTGATTTGAAGAAAACAGTGAGAACATTGTTTCTCTTCTCGGCTTTCAGGGAAAAAACAGAAGCAGCATTTAGACATTTTTTTAAACTTTTTTTTTTTTTACCATATGGTGAGCACTGAGGTGGGCGAGGAGGCTGCTGGCCTTTTTGTTGGAATTTGTTTTATTTTCAAGGTCAGGGGTCAACTTATGAGGCAGAACAGCTCGGTTTCTGCTGTGGGGGTCGCACACTGACTTTCACCTTCTCCCCGGCAGGAAGGCTGACAGGAAAAGCCTCCTTGTGACTGGAACAGAGAGCATGTGACGACGAGCCTGCTGCCGAGGAGACCTGAGGGTCTGAGCAAAGAAGAGCCGGACTGTTGTTCTGTAACGCAGCAACTTTTACAGATAGAGACTCAGACTTTGGTGTGGGAGTAGCTGACATTGTCCTGCAACACATATTCTGACTGAGTGCTAATAAACTGTGATTTTTCCATTAACTGTTTGAAGTCACCTCTGTGTCCGTTAGCAAAATATCTCAAACTGAAATTCTCATAACGTAATCAACGAACAACTCATTAATATTTGGAAACAACCCAATTAACGATGGCCGCCACAGCTAACTGATATTAGTGAACACTAAAAGACTATAAATCATTAATATTTTACTGATATTGACCTAATATTTGGTGTGGTAGTAGCTGAGAGTTATTCACGTGCTCTCAGGTGATCGTCACAGTTTTTACAAATTCTCACTAAAAATGGCTGCAACTCCGTTATTTTTCAACAAAACAGGAACTGTCTAAAGATGTGGCACGAGAGGCAGCGGGTGATATGTTTAATTTTTATTAACTTTTAATTGTTAACAACCGGACATAAAGCCGAGAGGTGAAACTTTAGTCCTAAAGAAAGAAACGAGCCTAAAAACGCCTCACTGCTTATTTCTCATCCACTTTCTGATCTGCAAATTTACCAACACCACAAATACAATTAGTTTTTTTCCCTCAAATATTTTTATTATTAAAGATTTTTTTTAAACGGTTCATATTTATCTACATATAGCTACAACTAGTTTTAGTCCATGCAGATCATAAAAATGTGCAAAGTTTTAAAACAAACACAAATAAACTTTTTCTCACGTTTGTTCCCCTCTTAGTTTTAAAACTCTGGCATTAAAGACGAGAGAGATGAGTAACAAATCTGTAACCATCATCAGCGCGTTAAAGTTTGTTCATCCTTTCATAGAAGTTAAAAAAATCTGCTCAACACGAACCTAAACATCGTGTTCAGATTAGATTACATCCAGTTGCCCCAAATCTTGCTCCTTACTTTGTATGTTTACTTTGAAAGATCTGGTTGGAAATAATCCGTGTAAAAAAAAAAAAAACACAAGTACCTTGAAGCTTGTGCAAACTGTAGTACCGTATTTTTCAGTTTATAAATCACGTTTTTTGGCATAATTTACACGCCCTGCAACTTATACGCCAAATCGACTTGTTTATGTTTTTTTCCCATATTTATAAAACAGTTTTTGGCTGAGATACGACAGTTTTCATTCATTCTGACTGAAAATATTGAACACTACCATTTTCAGCCGCTAGATGGCACTCGAATAGTATGGCATGCCGGTGTGTCATGTAATGGGTATAAGTGGCTATTAATGACACAATCGGCTTGCCATAAACTGCCACCTTCGTCCAGCTCGCTTGGAGCAACCGTCAAATCAGCTTCATTTTGCTGCACCGCCCTGGCGAAATGCAGCTGATTTGACCTTTAACGTGCATTTATTAAGTAAAAGTTCAACTGAGACACAACTTTTCTATAATGTCGAGCAAATAAATAATTGTTTTTAGGTGACTATATTGTTAAATTTCCAAGAAATGCATGGCAAGTCCTCCCGCGCATGCTCCCATGGCCGCCATTTGGCAGCCAATCGACTTTTGGCACAACACCAGCCCACATTTCCGGGTTGTCAGCGGTGACGCGTTTTTTTTTTCTTTCTAACTTTATTGAACACAATATACAAAACAAACAGGTATAGTAATTAACAAACAGCACCTCGAAAACAGTGACAAGACTTGTGAACCGAGTCTGTTGTAAAACAAATTATACAAGATAATCAGGAATACTATTTAAGAATAGACTAGAAAGAAAAGGATAAAGAATTTAAAAAAAACAGAAAATGAAAATAATATAAAAATTTAGTCAGAGGATTCGGGAAAATATAATTTGTAATAAGAAAGAAACTAAATAGCTTTTTTTTATTATTAATCAATTTAAGGGAATCAATCAGATATTTTAGTTCTGATTGAAAATGAATAAAATTTGGTATCGAGTTTGCAAATTTTTGTTTGTGGATGAAAAATTTTGCGTATAAAATTAAGTATAGTGCCTTGCGAAAGTATTCAGCCCCTTGAACTTTTCAACCTTTAGCCACATTTCAGGCTTCAAACATAAAGATATAAAATTTTAAGTTTTTGTGAAGAATCAACAACAAGTGGGACACAATCGTGAAGTGGAATGAAATTTATTGGATGTGTCAAACTTTTTTAACAAATAAAAAACTGAAAAGGGCGTGCAATATTATTCGGCCCCCTTGTGTTAATACTTTGTAGCTCCGCCTTTTGCTGCAGTTCCAGCTGCAAGTCTCTTGGGGTATGTCTCTATAATCAGTTCTGAACATGGAGACTGAAGTTCTGCCCATTCTTCTTTGCAAACCAGCTCGAGCTCAGTGAGGTTGGATGGAGAGCGTTTGTGAACAGCAGTCTTCAGCTCTTTCCACAGATTCTCGATTGGATTCAGGTCTGGACTTTGACTTGGCCATTCCAACACCTGGATACGTTTATTTGTGAACCATTCCATTGTAGATTTGTCTTCATGTTTTGGATCATTGTCTTGTTGGAAGATAAATCTCCGTCCCAGTCTCAGGTCTCTTGCAGACTCAAACAGGTTTTCTTCCAGAATGGTCCTGTATTTGGCTCCATCCATCTTCCCATCAATTCTGACCATCTTCTCTGTCCCTGCTGATGAAAAGCAGACCCAAACCATGATGCTGCCACCACCATGTTTGACAGTGGGGATGGTGTGTTCAGGGTGATGAGCTGTGTTGCTTTTACGCCAAACAAACATATTGTTTTGCATTGTGGCCAAACAGTTTGATTTTGGTTTCATGTGACCAGAGCACCTTCTTCCACATGTTTGGTGTCTCTCAGGTGCTTGTGTCAAACTTTAAACAACACTTTTTATGGATATCTTTGAGAAATGGCTTTCTTCTTGCCACTCTTCCATAAAGGCCAGATTTGTGCAGTGTACGACTGATTGTTGTCCTATGGACAGACTCTCCCACCTCAGCTGTAGATCTCTGCAGTTCATCCAGAGTGATCATGGGCCTCTTGGCTGCATCTCTGATCAGTCTTCTCCTTGTTCCAGATGAAAGTTTAGAGGGACGGCCAGGTCTTGGTAGATTTGCAGTGGTCTCATACTCCTTCCATTTCAATATGATTGCTTGCACAGTGTTCCTTGGGATGTTTAAAGCTTGGGAAATCTTTTTGTATCCAAATCCGGCTTTAAACTTCTCCACAACAGTATCTCGGACCTGCCTGGTGTGTTCCTTGGTCTTCATGATGCTCTCTGCACTTTGAACAGAACCCTGAGACTATCACAGAGCAGGTGCATTTATATGGAGACTTGATTACACACAGGTGGATTCTATTGATCATCATCAGTCATTTGGGACAACATTGGATCATTCATAGATCCTCACTGAACTTCTGGAGTGAGTTTGCTGCACTGAAAGTAAAGGGGCCCAATAATACTGCACGCCCCACTTTTCAGTTTTTTATTTGTTAAAAAAGTTTGACACATCCAATAAATTTCATTCCACTTCACGATTGTGTCCCACTTGTTGATTCTTCACAAAAAAGGTAAATTTTATATCTTTATGTTTGAAGCCTGAAATGTGGCAAAAGTTTGAAAAGTTCAAGGGGGTCGAACACTTTCGCAAGGCACTGTATATGTTCAAATTTACAATTTTCAGAGTTACTGTAGTAGCAAATAATATTTTGGAGATTTGAACATGCAATTTTAGTTGATCGAAAAATGTAAGATTCAAGGTCAGTCCAAAATTTTGTGGATATGTCACAACTAAAAAATAGTCAGCGATGACGCATAATAGATGCGACTTATACGGCGAAGGGATGTTTTTATGGATATTTCCACTTTATTAGACATATTTGGACTGATGCGACTTATAGGGCGGTGTGACAGCAGAAAATACGGTACATAAGTTCTTTAATTCTAAAAATCGTAGTTACATTTGTAAAACAGCGGGTTTTGACCTGATAAGGTGAGATCTGCCTTTAAACTCTTTAAAAGGAGGCCAAACGGCACCACGTTATTCTTTTAGCGTCAATTCAAACTTGAGAACAGAAGAAGACGTGACCGACAGTTCAAGTGGAGCAGATACAACACGAGCGAGGTGTGTTCGATACGGAGCAGGAGCCTTTATAAGTTCAAACTGCTGCCTGCAGAGACAGATGTCGCTCCGTACGGAGCATCGGGGGCTTGAATTTAATTCTGGCAGTCTGTGGAGGTCAATAAGTAATGAAGTGGCTTGGATCCCCTTTGGCTGATTAAAACACCACACAGAGGTGTTTTTTTTATAAAGGATGAAAACCCTGACAGACTATAGTATTCAGAAGCAGGATAAAACTCATAGTTTTACAGAAGTTGAGCTAAAATTTGATGTGATAGTAGCTGGGAGTCATCCTCATCATATAGTCTGAGCAGACAGATATTTGATGTAAACAAGGAAGCAGGCAATGTGCATTTTGTCAAAAAGTGCTGCTTTCATCTTTTCTTGTTCTTTATTGATGATTCCTGCAGAGATTCTGCTGGTGAAGAAATTTCAAGTCATGTGCACATCCCTATTAGATATTTTTAACCTAGTTTAAAGTGGAAAAAAATAATAAAGTCTAGTTCAGAAGGATTTCATGATTTGGACACACTTTTTAAAAAAAAAATCGCTTTCAACAGAATCATGCACTTCCATCACAAAACTTGTGATTTTGTCCATTTTTATTGTTTAAACACATTTTGCTGCAGGATCAAAGAAACGGAGAGAACAGAAAACAGGTGAAGGTGATGCAATTAGTCGTTTTTATTTTTTTTTGTCTCCCGTGTTGCTGCACGGTCAACGTGAGATTTTCTGACACTGATAGTTTGCAGCCGTTCGACTGTGGCCTGTTTGTGTGTCTGCTCATGTTAAGACGTTAGTCGCAGACACAGAATGTAAAAGATAATTGCAGCTGGCAGCAGGCGGGCTTTCCCCTTCATGAACCATGCGCCTGAGGCTGATCTAATTTCAGCAAGAACCCTCGCAGATCAGTGTCACGAAAACATTATAAAAAGGTCGTAAACTGAGCAAAACGAAAAGCCTCGCATTCATTAAAGGAGCTTATCGCCCTTCATGAGTTATAATTCAAAATGGCACATCTTGGGAGATGTGATGGGGATGACTCGGCTACCACCACAAAAACTTTACCTCAGTATCTGTTTTTGTGCTGATAATGAGTATTAGCTGTGGCAGCCATATTTTGGGTGGACTCCAAATGTCAACCAGCTGTAGATGCACATCCAATTCTTTGAGAATGCTTCGTTAAAATCCGTCTGGTGGTTTGCGAGATATTTTGCTAACAATGTTGACTTCAGATCGTCAATGGCAAATGTGTGTTGGGAGCTACTATCACACCAAACTTGAGCTCAGTAGTTGTAAAACTGGCCACCAAACCATTAATGTTCACTTTCAGTGGAGGCAGTAAAACACCCCAGACTGGAGATGAGAAAACATTAATTATGTACAAGTTCCTAAATGTGTTCGAACTACACATTAAACCAGTTTAATCTTCCTTTACTCCACTGAAGGGTTGCAGGCTGCAAAAACTAAACGATGCTTGAGAACTCAAATACAGTATTTTAAAAAGTATTTTTAAAAAAGGCACCTACTATTTTTTACATGTGTTTTTGTCAGAATGTGGGATGTGCACAGGAAACAGACCCAAACTGCAGCTAAACAAAAAAATTATTATTTTAAGTGACAGTGAATCTGAACACTTTGTATTAAAAAAAATCATCTCAGAGTTTGATCAGGATTTATTTGGGCTCTAAACGTTTTTAAACAGACAAAGCTGCAGGAACTGCACAAGCGAAGTTAGTCAGTGAACTGGTTTGTTGGTTTGGTGAAGTTTTCGCTCTCGTTGTCGTCAAACCAAACAAACCGACAAATTCACGCCGAGCTGAGCACTGTTTCTGTGTTTCTTGTTTTGTTAATCTGGTTTAACAAACAGACGGTCAGAAGGTGTCGATCTTTAATGTGGAAAATCCTCCTTTCAAAGACCTGTGGTACTGGGGGCCGCCGTGGCGGGTGTGAAGCCTCGGTACTGTCCGCCCAGGCTCGGATACTCCTTCCTGATTCTCCAAACGCTGCAGCTGGGGATGAACGGGTGTGCGTCTGTAGGTGGGACCCCAAATCTCCAGCTGATGTAAAGTCTGTAGGCGCAGTGGCGCAGGGAGGCGGTCTGAGCCCCGCCAGCGGGAGGAGACAAAGGCTCCTGGTACAGGAGGACGGCCTCCAGCAGCGAGCGGCACAACACCAGCTGCTGGAAAAGAGGAGAAGAGGTGATGCAGACGCCATCACTCCACCTGCAGCACAGCTGCTCCTGCGGGAGGGAGGAGGGAGAGCAGCAGTCGCATTTACACCACGTTGGACGACGACGTGTCGGGTTCTGGTCCGGTTTGCAGTCGAGGGGAGGCTGAGCGTTGGAGTCCACACTGACATGCAGCTGTAGGAGGCAGAGGACGGCTCTCATGTGTCCTGCGTCCTCCTGACAGGACAGAAACATCTGTTCATAAATCTGAAGCAAACACACCCAAACCAGAACCAAACAACCCAAGAAAGAATTAAAAACCTGAACACTGACATAATGTCGGCTACAGATATATCGTCACTCAGCCATTTATTTATAGATTGTTCATCCAGTAGTCGCTACTTCACAGTTCAACTTTCGCAGACTCGCTCTTTAGTGGTTTTTCAGCGATTGTCAACTTTATATTACTCGCATGGTTGGGACGGTACAGATAAAAAGTTAATGGAAAAAAAAAAAAAAAAACTTTGGACAGGCGCCACAATTTTGTAGTTTTCTTTTGCATCGCCAGATCAAAATAACTACATTACCCAGAAGCAAACAGTGCTTCCGCCCGCTGCTTTCTGCTTAAATGGAGGGAAAGTTTTGCTCTGATCCAAACCTGACTACAAAAAGTTTGATCCATAATGACTTCAGCGCTCAGTGGATGCAAAGAGCCGACCAGAACTGGACCAAGTCTGGCGAGTCCACATATAAAATTTTGCAGTAGCTTCTGTGCAGTATGTTGTTAAAATTACATACGTAGGTTTATATGGAACATAACCCCCACAATAAACGAGGAACTACTGTAAATATTAAAATATGTATGTTGATCAAAACCCATTAAAGAGCTGCTGTTCTTTAAGGTTCAGCATTATTCACCGTCTGAATTTATTAAAACACATGGATTTCCATTCCTATGAAGCGGAAGCGATTTACTCACTTCTATAATTCTTTAAACATGAACTGCACTTTTTGTTCAGTTAAAAACTCCCTCTCAATAAGAACCTTTAAGCTTAAGGGTATTTTTCTTCCTAAAGGGAGGATGGATGACTTTGGATAAAGTCGTCCAAAATGTTTAATTAGAACAGGCGTTTAAACTTTTCTACACAGTTACAAACAAGGAGTGCATTTATTATATACACGTCTTATTATGTGTATTGTCGCTAATTTTGAAAATAACCAACTGTGGATGAAATTGAAACCAATTAAAAAGCGTGTTAATTGGAATATCTCCACTTTAGAGAAGAATCTAAGTTAGTACCACAGTTACATAAGTTCTGAGGGCCAAAACGTGGACTCAAGAAAAAAAAAAACCATTTTGACTGTTCTGATAGATTTTTTGCTGCTGTGTGACATGTGTTGGTGTTCAAAGTATGCGATGGGGATGACTCTCAGCTACTACCATACGAACTTTTAGCTCATCTTTGTGTTGGCTTGTTTTTTTTCCTGTGTTTTAGGGTCACCTTGCGTGGCAGAACGGACATGGGTTTGACGTATTGAAGACTCTTTTTGTGAGATCTCTTCACCAGACGAAGCTTCTTCTCGTCAACGTAGGACACGCAGAGGACGCGCTGCGGCAAACACGCTCGTTAAAATGTTAACAGACCATACAAATGACACAGAGCCACGTCGAAGCCTTTATCACCTGCTGATTGTCCTGGACTGACTCCACTTTCCTCTCAGAGTAGTTCTGTCCCGATTCTGCAGCATAACAGCTGGTTTCAATCAGCCAGTCGAGGAACACTGTAGTCTGCAGGCAAACAGGAAGGAAACAATCATTTCACTTAAATAACCTCCTCCGACTCACATTTAATGTCACTTGTTTATTTGTTGGATTTAGAGAAGTGGAAAAAGTCATTAAAAATATTTGAAGTTTTAGAAAAGAACAAAATAAGTAATAATTCTGTCACAGAACTTTTTTTTAGGCGTGTGGCAGAAACACTGGTGGCCCCTAAAATGATCTTCAAACAATAAAACGACCACCTATAACTTGAACATTATGAATTATTTGAAAACTGCTGACTAATTTAATAACATTTTTCCTGCCAGAGGCTTTAGAAACCTCCCGATTCTTCATCATGACTTCTTATTTATTAATTAGACAATTTGTAATTTGTAATTAGACTCCGTCAGCTTTAATTGTGCTCAACATGAATATTTCCAACTCTTTATTTCTTTTGCTTTTCTGACAGTACTTTGTTCTTAGCGGCTCATTATAAAGACAAATCCTGAAAAGTTTTTACATTTTCACACAAATATAACTGATATTATGATTAAATGATAAAGTAAAACACTTTGTGCACTTTGTTCCAGTTAACAGATTACTCCTCTCTGTCTGAAGATGAAAGAAACATTAAAGTTTGAGTTTTAACATCGAGTGCTGCAGCATGAATGGACGTGTGTGTGCGCTTCTCACCAGAGCGTAGTACGACAGCGTTGAGCCGATGTAGATGATGAGCTGAATGAAGCTGAACTTCCCCGCCTGAAAAACAAAATCAAACTTTTTGTTCCTCCTTCAGAGCTGCAGCCAGAGGCCGGAGCTCCACGAGGGTGAAAACACTGAAACCAATCAAGTTAAAGCTGGAGATGGTTCCGAGATACTTATCAGTAATCGTCTTCAACTAATCATATAAAACCACGTCACAAATGTTAATTCAGTTGGCTTACACGTGGACTCTCAGTGTTGCAACAGATTTATTCATTTTATTCTCCATAGCACGTTCAGATTCCTAAATAACCTAAATTCTTTGGACACATTTCTACATTCAGTAAAAATAAATAAATCAGATTGCTAGAAACCTTTAATCCCCTCAGAATCTCACACGTCCAGTTTTAACACCCAAGTACATTAAAATGATATTGCCTGCTGCCAAAGTTTTAAACAAGGATCGTTTGCACTCGGAGTTGGAGTCAGGGATAACTCTCAGCTACCACCACATCAAAACTCAGCTCAAACCTGCAAAACTTGAGTTGTAACTGCGTGTTTGCCAAGGTTGATTAGCTATGGCAGCCATCGTGAATAAAGTTGACTCCTAAAGTTACTTTTTGTAGACGTGCATTTAATTATTATTAAAACCAGCGCATGTTTTTTTTTTTGCAGGTGGGAGCAAACTGCATACATGGGTTTTCTCCAGAGAGAACATGCAAACTCCACGCAGCGCGTTTTAAATGCGTTTTATTTAATAAAGAAAATTGATTGGATTTAGTCTGATGAGAAGCGTCCAGATGTTTTCAAACTACCGGTCCAGCTCGGTGAAAAAAATACAAAAAACTCTCACCTGTCCAAACACTATGACATCGAATCTGATCCCAAAGGCTTTGTACAGCGTGCGCTCCTCCACCCCGTTCACCGTGTTGTACTTTGCAAACCTGACCGGAGAACAGCGGGTTTCTTTATAAAGCGGTTTGATTCACTTCAGATCTGACTGACTCCTCTCCAGCAGAGGGTTCTGAGGATTATCGCCATGTTTCATGGTTTCTACAACAGTCCTGACTGAGGCACACACAAAGTTGACCTTTGACCCTCGTCACCTGAAGTTGAGGCCGGGGTACAGCGTCCTGTTGCTCTCTCGCTCATCCAGGCGCCTGAAGGAGTATCTGGGGAGGCAGCGCTGCATGAAGCGGTCCAGGTTGCAGTCCCATTTGATCTGGATGCCGATGACACCTCCCTGTGGTCAGCAGCAGAAACACAAAGCTGACGGAGTCACGGAAAAGTCCACAACAACTGCTGCAACAATCAGCTTGCGATAAACAAACGGCTAGAAATCTGATAATTAGAACTCAGTAATCAGATCAAATACTCCAAACAATTTTTACTCATTTTAGAAAAACTACCGACTATTATTTGATATGGCTCTTCTACAATAATTAAGCAAATATAAGTGTTTTCAGAACTTAATATTTTACACACATATGCTGAATCGAGCATTTGTCCACACAAACTAAAGACCGTTTCCTCTTTTTTCTGAACGTTAGGGTTAGTTTCAGTTCCTTTTTGAGCCTTTAGTTGTCCTCAACAAATGGCTCGAGAAGGAAACGGGAAAAACAAACGAGTGGTTTGCTGCTTTTTACATTCAGACCACGTAGAGAAAGGTGAAGGTCGTTTAAAAATTGGATCCATGATGTAAGGGGAAACGCAGCAGACCTCACCTCCACTGCCAAGTCTGAAAACTTCTCCCCGGCCTCTTGAACGATGTCTCCGAGCCTGAAAATGGGACACAGCGAGTCGCTGCCTCGGCTGCAGCTCCTCAGGTACGAGTCGTCCATCTGTGGGAGGATGTTCCGTCTGGAAAATAAATCAACGTCAGGGATTCACGAACGAATACGCCGCACGCCCCGTTGTTTTTATCTGTTCTTCTCATTTGGCAGGAAAACGCTACAAGGCTACAGGTTTTTACCTCCAACTGGGGGGAAACTGTCCTGACTTGTAGGTTAAGTGTGAGCCCAGTTTGAAGAGGGCAATAAGAAAACTAACGAAACCATCAGAACGTTTAAAACCTCAAATCAGTCTCACCGGATGAAGTTGAAGGCAGGAAATCTGATGTTGTTCTTGATGAGGACGGTGAAATTCTCAGCCGCTGCCAACAAAGCAGGCCTGCGACACAAAATTATATTTTTAAAAAGAGATTTGTAAAAAACAAGACACTGCAAAACTCTTGATTCAACCCTCATTTATTGGCATTTTCCTTCCAAGATGTCAGACTCTCATCTTTTTAAGCAGTCTTAGTTGATTTTATTTTTTTTATTTTTACTTTGGCTGCCTTTTAATTTTTTTTGGTTTTTGACCGTTTTCAGAGGAAAGCTTTTGTTCGTCTGGGGAGAACCAACTTAAAGAACCCATTTTATTTTGGATCTTTGTTACCAGCTGTCTGTCCAAAACAGTTTTCAGCACCTACCATGTAAATCTCCATGGAGACTGAATGTAAACAGGAGAACATCGTGATGCTCAGTAATCCAGGTAGATAAATCTAACGAGGTTGAGTCAGGTCTTCTGGATGGAGAACCTGACTCACTCTTATTAGAAAAACAGGAAAATTGTCGACAACAATATTCTAACTCTTGTGAAAAGGTTTGTCATCAGCGAATCCTGCAAGTCAGCATTAAATTTACTCTCAACAGGAATGAGCGCACGTTCTTTTTTTATTTAAACCACTTTGCAAAATTACGGTAAATCCAATTTAAATAATGCAAACTGTGCAAAATTGTTGCACGTTTCTTAATTTAAAGAAGGGTGTCTCCCCACAAGTTACAGCTTTAGGAGAACACTGGCAAACAAAACAGAATAAAAGCTCAGTCAAACTTTGTTTTTTCCACTAAACTCATTAAGATTTAAGAAATGAGCGTTAGCATAATCGATGCTAACTTACCTTGGAGGAGATGTCCTTGTTTCTACCGGACACCACGCAGAAACTTCGCAGGTTTTCGTCGTCACGTCAAACTTTACACACGATCCGGTTTGAATTCCTGCAAAAAAATAAATAAATAAATAAATAAAAGCTTGTCACAACAGACTGGAACCCAAACAAGCAGCAAGAGAAACAACTGGTTGAGAAACTAAAACTGCATCACAGCAATGAGACATTCTTCTGCTTCACGTCAGGTTTTAGGACCAGGAGGTGACGAGCAAACAGGAGACCAGTGACGAAGAACTCTGTGTGAGTGGTTCCCAAAGCTGGACTTGGGAGGGACCTCACTGTGCGCCATGAAACACCAACTGGGAAGTCTTAAAAAGAGTTCCAGAATAAAGTTAATTTTAAAATGAATGCAAACATCAGTGTTGCTCACTGCCTGTGCCGTGGCCTGTCGTGCAACCCGTGTGGTGCATGTAGTGCACAACATGCATCATGTGCATTTAAGCAGTGTTACTGCCTGTGCGGCACTTGTTTGGACTGATTCATCCTGCTTTTTATTTTTTTATTAACCTTTATTTTACTTGCATGGTTGTATTCTACCATGTTGTTTACTATATTTCTTTCTGACCTTGTAGATGCATTTCTTTTTCACTTTTTGGTGCTTTGTTCTCTACTTTTGTTGCATGCTTTCTTGTTGTTCTTTGGCAAGTTGTGACAGTTCTTCTCATCCAAAGCATTAGCATTGTTGACCTTGTGTTGACCTACAAATAAACAATAAACTGAACCAAGCTATAAACTAACCTCAACTAGAAAAGAGATGAAACTGTAGTTTAACCTGCAATAATCAGAATCACGAGTCTTCGCAGCTTGTATTTTATGGGTCTAAAGCTGAAAAGTTTGGGACTAGAGGCAAAGACAGGAAACTACATTTACAACTAGGGTTCAGAACGGGGCTGAAAACACCCAGAGGTGAAGCCTGAAAACCAAGAACTCATACAGATGTGAACAAATTTACTTCAAAAAGGGTTAAAAAGTCTCCAATCAGCTGCAAGTATTTTCTATATTTTTTATTTTTGCTGTCAATAACAAATAAAGACGTTATTTGGGGACTATTTTCAGTGGCGGATTAATCCACAGTTGATGCTCCTGAGAAGCTTTGCAACACCTGATCTAGGTTTTTGTGTTCACAGTGATGAGATGAGATCCAGTGTGTCTCGTTTTGATGGAGGACGAGGCTTATTCCCCCAAACAGTCCAGTTGACAACCAAAAATAAAATAAAACTGATTTACTTACAAGCCTTCAACAACCGTCTACATAAAAACAGCTGGTCTACCGTGACTCTGCTGGTCCCAGACTCCCTTCTCACAGTCCTTATCAGTTCGGCACAGTCTGTCTTTAGAGGGAATCTGCAATAAAAGCACATGTACTATTAAATGTCCTCTTACGTTAGTGGGGTTTCACATTTTAGTACTTCAGTGAATTAATCAACCGATCTCGTTTCCCAGTTTTAACCCTACCACTATATTTCAAATAAACCATTAAGTCCTTAATTCTAAACCATGTGGGGTAGTGGCTGAAAGTAATGGGACACCTCTTCAAGAAGCCATGATGTTTCTTTTTCATAAACAGAAATGACTGAGCTCCAATAAGCCTCACTCTATAGTTAGGGTCTCTAATGTTGTGGTAAAAAGATTTATCTGCAGCGAAATGTAAAAAATAAATACATAAATAAAAATCAGACTAAAAGATGTTATTCATCAATCCATCCAGCGTCTTTGACCCGCTTCTTCCTTTTCGGGTCATGGAGGTCACTGGTGTTCTACTAGATTAGTTTGTGTTAATTATAACAAATTAACATATTCTATCATTGTTAGCCACCGTTTCATCCGTCTACTTTCTCCTTGGCTCTGCAAAGGCTTTCGTTATTTTAATTGTGTTAAATGGCTGCTCCAGTAAAAATAAAAAAAATAAAAAGGTTTGTCTTTTTACACTAAAATAGTTGTGTTCCATTAAAAAAAAAAAAGGTCACTCTATAAATGTTGAGAGCCAACGAGTCGGCTGGAATTGGGGGCTCGTCCGGAACTGAAATCAAAGGGCTCTGAAAAAAACTCGATGTATGCAGTCAGAAAGCTCTACCACTTAAAAAAAAAAAAAAAAACTGAAACATCACCGACGCTTGGAATAAATACACAAAACAGAGGATTTGGGATAAATTTTAGGATTGGATTGTTACAAAATGGAACAAATTATTTTAAAAATAAATTAATTACCTCTGGACATTTTCCTTGCTTTTGATTTTTTGTTACGATGATGTTGGTCACCACAAAGAAGGAGTTCTTGTCCTTAAAAAAAAAGAATTTTCTTTCAAGTATGACAAAATAATGTTTATAAGCTGAATCTTGACTGAGCTCTCACCTGCAAGGGCCCACTGTAATCCACCACATCCCAGACCACATCTTCAGCCCCAGGCAGGTGGGCCTGTGCTACGCCCTTCACCTTGGTGGTGACTGAGCTCACCACTAGGTCAAACTCCTGATATTTTCTGTTCCACAACATCATGATACTGAAAATAATAAAAATAAACTAATTATCATGGGCTCATCTGCTTGTACAGCCTTCATGCTCCATGTTTGTAGTCCACAGGAATGACTTCAGTTTGAGACTACAGAGATTTAACCAGCTTGAACAATGTGAGCAAGTCGGTTTAACAGATTATTTTGTTGAGTAGTCAGTTAGTTTGAGTGATCGGACTCAATCCTGCGGTCGAGTCCATCTTTACACCTTCCATATCAGTAAAAAAAAAAAAGTTTTCCTCTAGATAAACTCTTCATCTCAAAACTAAAACATTTTCATTCAGTAACAGCCAGAAAGATTTCATCCAAACGAACCACAAGACTTCTGGAATGACGCTCGTTCACAGAAAACACAGCAGGTCAGCACAAACGCCTCATACCAGCTGTCGAGCACGGTGGCGTAGAGGTGATGGTTTGAGCTCCTGTTGTCATGTATTTATCTTGTGTTGTGTTCCAGGGCTGGTGTGTAGCCCAGTAGGCTTTTTTTAAGGAAATGAGAAAAGTGAGTGTGGGACTTTGCCAAAGGAAAGTCCAAACCCTACAACAGCTGCACCAATGATTCACTGGGAATCACTTACATCCTCTGTAGACCAAAGGATTCTGGAGTCAGATGTGAGTCCATCATCAGCTGAAGCCTGGACCACACTGGGTCCAACAGGACAATGATCCACAGCAGCTAATCTACAAAAGAACGGCTCAAAAAGAAAATAATCAAAATGCTGCAACAATCCGGTCCAGAACTCAACTGAACAAAATGCTGCATTGAAACTTTAGGACAGGGGTCTGCAACCTGCGGCTCTAGAGCCACACGTGACTCTTTGGTTCCTCCACAGCGGCTCTTTCAAGCTTTGATTAAAAGGAACATAAAACTGAAGCTTATTGGTTGTTAAACAAACATTTAAAAAAAAGTACTAGTTTTAGCAGTTTTCATGTAATTTCTTTGGCAAATACTCACTTTAGCATTTTGCTTTATGTCTATACTGGATTATTTTTTCCACAATAAAATTTTTTTTAAAAATACATAGGTCTGCATAGCTCATAGTTTGTTTTGTTTTATAATTAAAAAAAAAAACTTTCCCCACCTCTTTACAAGAATCTGGTCTTTTCATTCATCTTAAATTGTAATAATATCAATGAATGTTAAAAATCATTAGATATTTTTAGCTTTATAATTTCACCCCTACTGGCCACAAAAGTCTCCTCCAACAAACAAAGTGGCCCATGGGCCACCAGTTGATAACGGTTGTAGCAGGTTGCTGCGGCTCTGGACACGTTGAATTTAGTGAATGAAACTGTAAAAATGGCTCTTTTGACCCTAAAGGTTGCAGACTCCTGCTTTAGGAGAAACCTCGATGAACTGAAGCAACGTTGGAAAGAAGAGTGGGTCAAAATTCCAACACAACCATACGAGAAACTGATCCGGAGACTTCCGGGAGCTAAAGGAGGTTCTGCTGGATCGGAGGGTGGACTTACTGGTTTTGCACTCACAGCGTTACCAATTTAGGATTAATTGTTATTAAATAATGAAAAGATTAACCGTTCTGGATCTGTTGTTGTGTCTGTACACTTGAGGTTGGAACAGGGTTATTCAACTAAATTACTCAGGGGCCACGGGTACTGGATGCCAAGAGCTCAGGGGCCGGACATCCAGCAGTTGAAAGTAAGTTTTATAGTTTAAAATCTAGTTTTATTTAAAACTTAATCCATTGGTGGACCGAACTGAGCTCACCTGGACCTAGTTTGGCCCCGGGTCACCAGTTGAATAGCCCTGGGTTAGAACAAGTTTAAAACTTGGTAAAAACCCAAATCATTTTATCAGGTCCTGACATGTAAAGCCCTATAAATAAAATAAAGAGGGGTGGACTTCCTGTTCCAGTGACTGCACAGTAAAATAAGAATATTACAGCCTTCAACTGGGTTGACATCAAACAAAACAACTTAAAAACTAAACCTACCTGGAAATATCATTTAAAAAGGATAACAAAGCAGCTTTCTGGAACATCTTTGGCGAGCACATACCATCCAGCACGGAGGTGGAGGGTTGATGATTTGGGCTTTTCTCAAAGCAACATTAAATTTTATTTACCAGCTCAGCTTCAAACCGCCTGCAGAGTTCATGTCAAAGCAGAATTGTTGAGGAGCAAAAAAAAAAAGTTACGTTTTTAAAATCCTGCACAATAAACGCACAATGAGGACGTGTTTAATTCAAATGCGCGTGCATGAAGTGCATGAAGCAGCAGCGGAGGGTGCAGCAGCGGAGGGGAGGAGCCCCTCCCGCGGGGAGAAGATGCGGGGGCCGAGACCTCACGCGCTCACTCACCAAATAAAGAGCAGGATGGCTCCGTTCAAGCTCCATTTGAGAGAACCGAGCCGGACGCTCCGGATCCGGACCAGCTTGTTGGTTTGGTACTCACACAGACCGAGCGGGTCGCAGCACGACATGTTGGGTTCCTGGACTGGAGGGAGGATCCTCCGGGTCCGGATCTTCCTGCGTGGACGGGTCACATGTCCTGCAGCAGCTGCAGCAATCTCTCACATTTCCATCAAAACAATAAACTCTGGATTTTGCATGCGCTGAATTTTGCATCAGTTAATTTAATAAAAATATATATATATATATTTTAACCACTTATGCAACTTGATACAACTGGTTACCGGAACTAATTCGGTTTAACATTGATTGAACTAATTCTCAAACTTCCGCATTTTTACTTGTCATTTTAATTGCTAGTTACACACGTGTGGGATTAATTAGTGATTTAAGTGATTAAACAAACACAAAATGTTTCTCTAAATAGCCACCAGGTGGCAGCATTTCACAAAGCTGATGGACAGAGCGATTAATTCAATTAATTTCTAATTCATCACAATTGTACTGGTTCTGTCATTCTAAAACCAACAATAAACAACTTTAGGGTTGTTGACAAAAATAATTCCTAACTGTGAGCATGTCAAAAGTAAATTCAGGCTCAGATAGAAACCCAAGAATCTTCTCTTGACATTTTTCATTTTGTTTTTTATTCAGATAAAGAGCTTTTTGTCTCCAGGACAAGAGAACTATTGTGGTGGAAACTGCTCCTCTGTGAATCTCAGGCTCTGAAACTGGAACGTAACAATCATTCAAGCTTCAGCTCCATTAATCTATTAAAGTATGTTGGAAATTATTAAAAAATTGCCTATTATAAGCCCAATGTTAGTTTTTACAAACTATAAATATGTGTAGGATGTAAAAGAAATGAAAGTGAAAACAGTCAAGAGCTCCTGCAGATTCTGTTGTTTACATGAAAAATGTATTTATCAAACGTTTGCCATTTTTATGACAGAATTGACTAAAATCATCATTTTATGTTGCAAAGTTCAGCTGTTTTGGTTGAACAGTTTTCAGACTGTGTGTTGACGATGACTCTCAGCTACTACCACAATACATTTTAGCTCAATGCTTAGTTATAGCCGTTTTTATGTTTGCCAAGATCAATTAGCTGTGGTGGCCATCTTGATTTTGGTTGACTCCAAAAGTCGGTCCGTTGTAGACGTACAGCCGACGATTACTTTTTGAGTTTCATTAAAATCCGTCCAGTGGTTCATGAGATATTTTGCTAACAGACGCAAAAGAACTGTGATAGTTGATGACAACGCGTTCAAAACAGATTTTGCTCAAAAACTAGTAAAATGAAAATTCACTGCATGAAAATAAAACCCTTTTCTTGTTAATCAGCTTGTTTTTCATGTAGATGTTTCATGTAAACAAAATTTTTACAAGTATTAAATGTTTGGTATCTGGTTCAAATATATATATTTTTTATTTCATTTCAAACCAACACGGGAGTTTTGTTACAAAAATCAAACACAAAAGCTGTTTTGTTTTTTTCTGTCAGCGGAAAAACTTCTGCAGCAGAATGGGTTTGAGCTTCTCCAGCTGGCTGTTGCTCTGCATCTTCTGCTGCAGGCCTTTGTTGTCCAGGAGCCTCTCGTGAGTTTGGTCGAACAGGTTTTCACCGAGCTCCTTCTTCACTCGGTCTCTCCAGGCCATCAGCTTTGGTCGGCCCTCGAACCCATCCACGCCGGTTCCAAGAGGCTGAAAAACACAGGTTGCAATAAAAGACGGAGAGGACGTTCAGCTTGTGCAGATTCTCGGCTTCGTCGACCAAAACTTGTAAAAATGTGCAAATATGGAGTTTACACCGGCGCCTCAGCAGCAAGGTCTCGTTTAAAAGTGCAACAGAACCGCATCATCTGCAAAACGCAGCGATGAGACCCTGAAGTTTCCAAATCTGAATCCCCACGACTGCAGAGCAGATGAACGCCACAAACGCCATCCTGCATCTTCAGGTAATTTCAGATAAATGCAGATTATGGTACTTTAACATCTAATACTAGATTAAAAACTCCCATTTTAAGGTCAAAAATCGGTCCAATTATATCTTTGATGAGTGTTTTAGTTGTCGTTACTTTTTTTTTAAACACAGAAATACTCACTGAGAGGTGAACCAGGAAGTAGTTTAGTACTGTTACCTGCACGATCTCCACCAGAGCCACCAGATCAGCCAGAGAGATTTCACTGCTGACGATGAACGGTTTGTCCTGGAGGAATTTTTCCTCCAGCAGGTCGAGCGACTGCTTCATATCCTCGAGAGCCACGTCCATTTTCTCCTTCGGGGCCTCGGAGCCCATGACGAATGGATACAGAGTCTGCTCACAGAGACACGCGCATGTACGAGCATTCATCAGAACCAGAAGCAGCGGTTACTTGAAGCAGATATTCCTATTTTCATTCGATCTTTATTTCTACAGGTTAATCCCATTGAGCCTCGGGGGCTCATTTACAAGAGAGACCTGATTTTTTCAAAGGATTATGACAACAGTGGACAACAACAATCATAAAGGATGCATACAAAACTGAGAATAACAAGTGAAAATTAAATGGTATTTAAAAACAAAAGTAAAAACAAAAAAAACAGCTAGGTTGTAAGGCGATGTAGAAAACTAAAAACAAGAACATGTCTGCATTGGTTTCTCCCAGGAACTTAACAGATGGTTAAAGCCACTCAGAGAGGTCAAGGTCGAGAGCTTCAGATCTTTAATAATTTGAGCTGCTGAAGTAAATTTCTCTCAAACACTCGCTTTGTGTGAGGGTTGTTTTCTGAATGCACTTTAACCTGTGTTTAGAAATACTATGATGGCTGCAGGGCTGAAAAAAAATCAGCAAATTGGCTTTTTGTCTGACTATTTTATTATTCTGATGTTATCTCAGCAACTTGTTTGGGAAACCGTTCACCTTTCAGGATTCTTCAGACTATTTTAAAACCCTGATTGCACATTGTACAAGTTTTCCAGTACTTGGTGACCATCGGAGAGTTTTTCAGACCTGGACATGTGATCTGTCTTGCACTCGCTCTCGTACAAGGCAGATGCCTCCTCCTGTTCTCCTCCTGCCTTGTTTTGCTCTCTGTCTGTGTATCGGAGCTCCTGTGACACATCTTCTGAAGCTAAAACTACTGACGTGGATCTGGTCAGCTGGACTTTCAAAACAATCAACAAAATCTTTTCAAGCATGCGACAGTGTCCTGGAGAGCCCTCATGTCCCGCTGAGACTCACGCGGCAGGATACGTCATGGATACGTGGGGAGTTTGGGAGCTGATGTCTTTTTGTTTTGTCTCAGGAGGACGCCGAAGACGTTTATATAATTGGATTCATGATAGCAGGGTTTCTGCTTTCTGGCATTGGCAGATCCCTATGTTATCGGCTGTTAAGGAAGACAGCGGCAGCAATTTCGGCCATGACAAAACAGCTGAGTCTGTGTGAAGGTTTGGTTTGTGCTATGAGTACTCAAAGTCAGCTGATTTATGAGCTAAACCATAAGATGGAAGCGATTTGTGAGAATCGCAGGCCACCTGCGGCTTCTGGGACTCGCCAGCATGTTGGAAACCACCTTGGAGGAGCTTCGTAGGCACGGACCAGTGGCATGCCCACAAATCTGGCCATTTTGGATCTTGAAAGTACCAGCAGGACTCAAGGCTGACAAGAAAAAACAGTCTGTCTGAAAAAAATCAACAATTGTGGCGTATCTGAATCTGACTCCCCCGTTCAGCCTCGAAAACAGGCCGACTGTCAAATTTCTCCTGGGATATGTGTAAACTAAAGAAAAGCTTTGTCTATCACAACCCCACCCCTGAGAACTTATGTGAAGGCTAATCAGAACTGTGCCAGCTGACCACCATCTTATCAGGACTATGGCCTCTCTGGAAGTGCTTCGTGGACAAATCTCACCGCCTCGCCATCAAATGCATATGTAATGTGTCTATAAATGAGCTGCTGGTAGAGTTTTTTTATGTCTTAAATCGTGTCTCGATAGGACAAGTTGTGAAGAGATCTTTTTTGTAATACCACTATCTTATCCTATCCTCATGGATTTTCCCCCTTTTCTATCTAAAAAAGTATTCTGAAAAAGGATAAGGGGCCGCACTCCAGTAGCAGCAGCAACGTGCACTCTGCCCATCTTTCGGACGACTGTACAAACATAATCTCACAGTATTTCAGTACAATGATAATAAATCTGATTCTGATCCTGAGAGCTGCCATGCAGGTATAGAAACACAGATTTAGTGTTCTTGAAAAGGGTTAGAGACGCCCACAATGGTTCTGAAACTATTATGAGAATTAGTAGCGCAAACTTTCTGAGCATGTTCAAAACCTAAGCTGCACATTTGTGCCCCTCTGCAGTTCACATAAGGAAATTGCAAACTTTGGAAACTCCTTCACAAACCCAGAGAGGTTCTGAGGGATTGTGAAGCCTTGCAGCGTTGCAGCATGACAGAGGACTTTTACTCAACTTAGGATGATACTGGTTGATAATATTTAACGATTTCAAAGCCAAACCAATATTTAAACTGATAAAAAGTGTGCAACGAAGCATCTTAACTGAGGTTGGAGCACAGATCTGGGGCACAAACCTTGAGCAGGAAGACCTTTGAACAGTGAGCTCTCAGGTTGAGGTGCTGCCAGGACAAGTATTCATTGACACGAGCTCGCTGCTGCAGGTCAGCTGGAAACCAGTGGTCGGCTACTGATGCCGAGCATTTCTGCACCAGGTACAACAGGATGGCAGTGCTGCAACACGCATCAGATCAAAACATCAGAACAAAAAGTGAATATTTAACATTTATGTGGCTTTTTCAAACAAATAAATGGTTCATTTTAACTTGTTTATTTAGCTTATCAAATGAGCCCAAAAGTCTTGCAGTAGTCCCATCAGTCAGTCAAAGGACTGTAGAACACCGACAAAAAAAAAGATGATTATTAATTTAATTTAATAAGAACCAACATTCATCCATTGTTGGTGTTTTATTCAGTTTGAACAGAACTTCTGCAAATAATAATAATAAAAAACATATATACCTGTACATAATATATAATCTATTTTTTTGTTCCCAAACTTGATTAGCCGGGCAACTTTTTTGAACTGATATGGAAATCAGATTTAAAAATTACGTTTTTCTTTCTATCTCGACCAATAAAAATCCTATCAAATGTACTCGAGTTTTCTTTAGAAACGCACATTAAAACAAACATCTGTCCAAAGTGTTTTTAAAATAAAGCAGAACAATAGATGCACACAACAAAACAGCAACCAAAAAAAGTAAAACAACAAGTTTTAGCAAAAAAATGCCATTTAATTTGACTACTAAAATGTATTAAATCAAATTAAACCTAAGAAGAAAAATGTGCCTTTAGTTGTGTTTTTAGTTTTAGTTGGCTCCCTGTCAAATCCAGAATAGAATTCAAAATCTTACTTCTAACCTACAAAGCCCTCAACAACCTAACTCCATCTTATAATAGCGCTCTTATTGTTCCATATTTTACTTACAGAGCACTTCGCTCTCAGACTGCAGGCTTACTCGCAGTTCCTAGAGTTTCCAAAAGCAGAATGGGAGGAAGATCTTTCAGTTGTCAGGCTCCTCTCTTGTGGAACCAACATCCAGTTTCTGTCCGTGAGGCTGACACATTGTCCAGTTTTAAGACCGGGATTAAGACTTTCCTTTTTCATAAATCCTATAGTTAGGGTTGGCTTGTATTGCTGCCATAGGCTTAGACTACTAGAGGACAAAATGACCTCATTTCCTTAAATTAATTGTTAAAATTGAATAGTTTTCATTTGATACAATTTATATCTTAACATGTGATCCTTGACCTGCCATTGTGTATCTGTTCCTCTCAAACCCAGCCGGTCGAAGCAGATGGACGCTTGTCCTGAGCCTGGTTCTGTTAAAGGTTTCTTCCTCATGAGGGAGTTTTTCTTTCCACTGTCGCCTTCATGCTTGCTCAAGATGAGAGTTCTGTGATGGAGTTAGTCTGCTCCTCAGATAAATTATGTTAAATTATTATTTTTATATATGAATGTTTCTGTTCAGTGCCCTGAGACGACTTCTGTTGTGACTTGGCTATATAAATAAACTGAATTAAATTTTTTTTTTTAATGTCTGCCACTATGTAAAAGCATCCTCCCTTACTGAGCAGCTTAGACCGAGAAAAGGTCAAGAGCAATCGTTCAGAAAATCTAAACCATCTGGAGGGAGCGGCCCGTCCTCTCCTGGTCTGAAATGATAAGAGCCCCGAGCAACTTGAAGAAGCAATAAAAAAACTTTCTTAAACTGGTTTGAGTCAACGCTTTACCTCATTAAGGCAGTTTAGAAACACATCCTCAATATCAAAAAGATATGTAGTAACTGCAAGAAGGACTTAGGAGGAACAAAACAGGAAGTAAACAGACAAATATTAGCTTCTAAACAGTAGAAAAGGGCTGGAGTTACTATTTAAACATGTTCAAAACCAAAACTTATCAACAAATCAATCGGGCACAAATGGTTTCGTTTGTGCTTCTGTAGCTCAACTTGAAGCTAGCAGCTTCTATGAGCCACTGGGACGACTGAGAATGAAAATAAACGTGAAGAATCAAACCAGTCAGACATGCAAGTCCACTCTGAAACTCCTGAGAACCCTCAAAAATGCTGTAGAGCATCACTGAACAAATCTGAAGTCAAACCACGATTTAAAAATGGACTGATCGCAATTCCTCAACACAAACTTGTCGAACGTTAACAGAAAATATGTAAAAAACTAAGTTAGTGGAGATCTAGCATCCCCAGTGTTTGATGATTCATGACTGACATAAAGCTGTTTGGTCAATCCTTGAAAATAACGTTTTGTTTAAGCGCTTTTGCACGTGACATTTCTGAGAGTTTAATTCTAATCTGTAAACTGATCCGTGAGATATTTTGCTAATACAACAGACGAATATTTATCCAAGCACTCACAGACTGGCAAAGACATGCTAAAAACTAAAACACCTTTCTGTTAGAACGAAGCTGCCGTCCTTCATGACAGGAACTTTCCTCACAACGCTGAGTTGTCCAAACTCCTCGGTGTATTGCTGCCCTGAAACGAAAACACTAAATAAATTAGACGCCCCGAACTTTAAGCAAAAACACTTCGCCTCATATTTGGACTGTCATTTAAAGACGTTAAAAAATATGTAAATGAGGGAAAAACAGAATGTGTACTTAAAAATGTGGATTGCATAAATTACTAGAGAAATTGCATTTCCTGTGAAAATGCAATATGAATGCTTATTGCTGAAGAACTTGCTGAAAAACAGCTGAAATTAGCTAAAACCATACTGAAATGTAGCTGAAATGGATGAACAAGCCTAATTAGCAGAAGAAAGCAGACAGAACACATATTTGTTGAATTAGGTTTAAATAAGCAGAAATTAGCACAAATATTAGTAAATTAGCACAAAAAAAGAAGCTGAAATTAGCAATAAATAGTTGAAAAGTGTTTGAAAAGGAAGAAAGAAGCTTAAATTACCAGACGGAAGTGGAAAAAGAACAATTGTGCCCAGTCACACTGAAAGAAGCAGAAATTAGCACCAAAAAGTGGAAACTTACTGGAAAAAGCAGAAATTTTAAGGGGAAAAAAAACAGCTGAATAGTAGCTAAAGAAGCAGAAAGAAGCTGAAATTACCAGAAGGAAGTGGAGAAAGCACAATTGTGCCCAATTAGGCCAAAATAAGTAGAATTAGCACCAAAAAGTGGAATTTATCTGAAAAAAGCAGACATTTGCAAAAAACAGCCAAATAAAAGCTAAAAAGGCAGAATGAAGCTAAAATTAACAGAAGCAAGTAGAGCGAGTACATTTTTGCTGAATTAGGCTGAAAAAAGTTTAAATGAGTGCAAAAAATGTGGAAATAGCTGAAAATGCTAAAATTAGCATAAAAACAGCTAAATAATAGCTGAAACGTGCAGAAATAAGCTGAAAGGAGCACAACAAGCTGAAATTAGCAGAAAGAAGTTAGAAGCACAAAAATGTTGTAATTAGCAGAAAGAATCTGAAAGGAGCTCAAAACAGCTGAAATGAGCTGAAAGTAGCTGGAAAAAAGTTGAAAATTGCACATAGAAGCTGAAGCAGAACAAAATGTGAAAGGAACAGTAAAAGGCTGTGAACAGATCTAAAGATTTTAAAGATGTAAAATGAGCTCAGTTCATTTTCTAAGAGGAAAAAAATGGCAGAAAAGGCTAAATATTTCAAAAAGCTAAAGTTGCACCAACACCAAAAGTCATAGCACCCTTCTCCTGAAAGAGCCGAACTTTTTGATTTATGATTTGTTGAAATAGCACAAAAACTGCGGCACAAGAAAGATGCTGAAAAACGTATGGAAGAAAACTGGATCACAATAGTGTGAATGCTGCATAAACATTCACACAATAAATGAATATAAATCAGTCTTTTGTTGTGTTTGCTCAGTTTTTCTTTATTTTCACGCTCCAGAATCATCTGATCCACTCAGGAGGGGGTGGAGGAAAAGTCTACTCTTCAAAACACTGCAAGGGTCTGTGAGTTTTCTGGGTAAAAGGTAAAAATGTAATCTGAGAGCTCAGACGTAGATATTGTTACCGTAGTCAGTGCTGACAGAGTGGAGTAAAAACCAACTGGAAACTGAATTCCCACTAACATAAATAGCGTTTCCAGATTTACACATTTTAACGTGCGGCAAGAAAAATGACAGCAATTGTAGACTGTCACAGCTGGAAGCCCTAAAGTTTGTAGGTCATGTTCCATCTGGGAACTTTGCATTGGTTTCCAGGGATAATGTGTTTGTAGGCTCACCTGCTGAGAGTTCAACCAGCTTGAATTCGAAGGGGATCCCGAGCGCTCTGGCCAACAGGTAGACAGAGCGGCATGGAGGAGAGACCAGGTCCAGATAGAGCTCCATGGCTGTGATGGCTGCAGATGTTTGGTTCCCTCTGTGCCTCCAGCCTGGCACCTGCAGCGTCTGTTGTCCCCTGCCTGCACAGGCCCCGCCTCTGCTCGCTGGAAAACTCACAGTGTTTTAAACGGTGGCGACAGTTCAAAGTCTGCGAGCCGTTTGGGTTGACCGGTCTGACCTTTGGCCTCGCCTCAGTCCTAACATTTTGTAAACACAGCGGTGATAATTACATTTTTATCTGCTTGACGTCTTGTCTGTGAGTTACTGGTTGTTTTTTTTTAGGATGAGTTGACATCTTTAGCACCTTAATGTTTGCGAATATCTTGTTTTTCCAAGTATCTCAGTGATCTAGGTTGAATGAGCAGAGCTGGGGAGAAAAACGTGCAGAACAGAATTAAGAACCTAACATTCCTTGAAAGAATGCATTTCACCACCAGCTTACACTCGAGTATTTTAAACTAAGAGTTGGGGGTTGGTTAGGTTTGGTTTACCTTTAAAAACAACATTACGCACAGTCTCGTGTAATTTCGCGACATCTCGCGCGGTCTGTTAGAAATTAAAGCATGTGTTGGGATCACTCTCAGCTGCTTTCACACCAAATAGCTGAGTACGTATAAAACTGACTGAGCCTTAGACATTTTTGTGTTTGCTAAAATCATTTTTCTGTGTATCACGGTCTCACTCCTTTGCTTTCAACAGCAGCAACTGGTTTAGATTCTGATTATACTTGAAGATACTTTTTCACTGGATCACTGCTGCTTTGGATATTCAGTTAATTTCATATTTTACCTCCTGCTTTCCTGATGTTTATATTTATTTCCAACATACTTTAGCTTTAAGCCAATAAGTTGGGATTGTTACAGCTGAAATCATTATTCTATTTTTTGTTAATTGTCGAAATCAGAGGCCATTTTGAGCTTTTTGTTTAAGCCCTTCCTTCAGCGTGCTGCAGTTTACGTGTCTTCTGCAACGAGGAGTTATTCTCTTTCATAAAGACCGTTTCTGAACTCTGTGTGACTTGTTTGCAATCCTGCATTTTCTTCCTGAACTTGATGAGATCATCACACACACATTTTATTAATGCTTAAACCGTAGCTCACAATAAAAGAGGTGTCCTTTTCCCTGAATGTAAGCTTGTGGAGGGTGATTTATTTTTGGATTAGACGCGTGGTTTTTGTCCTCGACTGCTCCGTTTAGTCGAGCTGTTAAAGGTCGACCCGGTTCTCTTTAGGGCTGAGTTTTCCAGGATCTCCACCAACCTCTGCGTCTTCCATCGAGCCTCAGATGGTTCGTCATCATCCTGCAGAGAAAGAAAAAAGGCCGGTTTGTACATGCAATGTAAATACTGTGAAAACAGCTGACACAAGAAAACAAACTCTGTTTCATTGATTAAAGACAAAAAATGTAACAAAATCTACAATCAAATGTCCAAAAAACCTGAACTTTGACTTTTCAGGTCCAGAAATCTTTAACTATGTGAATTTTATTTTTTTTACTTTGAGAAAGATGTTAAAAACACAAAACCCTGCAGCTTTTAAGCCGATTTCTGTTTCTTTTACTGTTTTATTCCAAACATTTAGTGATAAATTATTTTAACAAATTGCCAAAACAGTTATTTTTACAGAACAGGATGTTTGTCTAAAGTAAACAGCATGTCTGTAAATCTGAAGTCCAGATTTCAAATCCAGGGACTCTCCTCCAGTCCTGGACCACAGTCCTCTCTGTCCATTTGACATTCTGGTCTTCGGAGACTAAAACGAACGCAGGTCGCTCCGGAGCAGGACCGTGATTTTACCGTCAGGATGTGTTTGAGGATGACGGCTGCTTTCTGCTTCACATCCTCCAGATGCCTCCTCCTGGTTGTCTCCTTCTGCAGCTCCGCCTCCAGTCGTCCCAGCGTGACCGCTTTTTGACGATATTGCTCAGATGTTTTGGTGAGGCAACTCCTGGAACCACAACACGGACGACTATTCACCGCGAGGTGGGCTTTTGATCAGTAACAGAACCTTTCACTTTAAAGGTACTCAACACAATGTCGTGAAGACCATTAAAAATTATAAACTAAATCCACTATTGAATGTTAATGCGTCTTTAATTGAAAAATGTGTCAACTAAATTAGTGAACTGCTGCCATTTGTTTAGCTACAGAATCAACTGAAATGACTGAAAACAGGTCAACAATAGTAACGTCCATGAAAGAGCAGTTTGGGATGGACAAGTCAGACGGTTGTGATGCATTGGCGTGTTATTTGCTCAGATTTGTTGAGTAAAATATACAGATTAATGTGTTTTGTTTACACTGAGTGCATACCAACATTTTAGATTTGCATATCAATATCTTTAAATAAAACTACTGGAGTAAATACTTTGAAACTGGACCAGTGGCTATGGTTCAAAATAACCTTGAGGTGTTGTACTGGTGGACTGACTTGTGCTACGTGCGTTTCCAAAATAACTAATCAAAACTTACTCTACACAATGTGGGTTTTATTACTTGTCAGTGCATAGTAATCTATAATCTATAATCCACAAAGCTTCTATTAATTGTCCATAAACAAGGAGTAACTATCATAGCAGCATAAACAGTCAACAAACTGTTTTCTCTTTCCAGTTCCAATATAGAACTTGCAAAACGTAACAAAGGTGTGACACCTTCTGGCTTTATTGAAGTAATGCATATAATAAAGCACAATGGCTCCTATAACGTTCGTCAGTTTATTAAGATATGCCTCGGAGCTGTTTCTCTCTAAAACTTCCATTATATTTGTCAGATGTTTTCTCCTATAACTTTAAACAGTCAAACTGTAGTTGTTTTTCTGGGTAGCTTAGAGATGGGACAGTAATATATGTAGAGCTAGGATCTGGGTGAGATTACTGAGGACACTTAAAATAATTCAGAAACAAAACCAGATTAAATGATTAGCTAATAATAAGTAGGTACAAATGAGACAGACATTGTGTTCTTATCTCCGTTTGGCTTCAAATACAACATTTTACATCACTAACTCGCACCATGAAAGGTTGCGTGAGAAGGTATTTTGTGTTTGTCTGGATCTGGTGGTAGGTAAAAGTCTGGACACTTAACTTAAGCTAAATTAAATTAGATCAGTAGGTGGCCATGTAACTGTGTTTCATTCTTCAGCAGAAAGCAGGCTTTGATTCTTAAAAAGAAATAAAACCTGTACCTGAGAGTCTCTGTCTTGTTCTGTGCATCCAACTGGTTGCTGAGATATTCTGCTTTCTTCACGTTGAGCTGCCTAAACATTTGCCAGAGTTGGTCCACCTCCTTAAGGTGAGGAGAAATTAAACTCTTTCACTGAACCATAGAACAAAGTGATAGCCTCTGTAGTTAATTCTGTATAAAAACAAAACGGACGTAAGACCTAAACTTTATTTTCAACCCTTTTGTTTGTAAGAATAAGCCAAAGTTTAGGTCTAACTTTTGTAGCTCATTTACCTTCTCAAAGGTGGCATTCTGCTGGATCAGCGCATCGGTCTCCTTTGTCAGGTCTTGTTTGCTTGAATGCAAATCTTTCAGTCTGGTGTGTAGGGCTTCTAGCTCTTCACTCAGAGCAGAGTTCTCTTTCTGGAGGAACGAGATCATCTTCATATGCTTCCTGTTCGTAGCCCTCTCCTTCACAAGAACCACTGAGACTTTGAACGGTAGAAAACGTTCATTTTGAGTCTTAACATTTTCTTCCAACCTGTTGTTGAAGAACAAGAGGTATTTACTGTTTGCTGATGGACTCTGAAGTTATAGCCAGTCCAACACTGCTTAAATTTACTCCAGACTTTACGTTTTAAGCTCTGCCTCTAAAGTCGTCTTCAGGCTTTGGATCTCAGCTTCCTGCTCCTCCGGCAAGTTGAACAACTGCTTCTCCATATCCTCCAGTTCAGACTCCTGCTGCTTCAGGGCGGTAATCTGCTTCTTTTTCTCCACCAAGGCTTCAGCTGAAGAAAAACGAAACGAGGGTGAACAAAAACAAATACCTAACCCATAAGACGGGATTTGCCAGTGACCGTACAATGAGCACAGGTACACCATGAAAGATGGCTGTGGAGAAGAAATGGCTCTCAAAGTAGAATGCCCTTTCTTCTTCTTCTTCTTCTTTTTTATTTTTATCAAATGTTGATCTTTGACCCTGGATATTAGTGATGGTAGTGAGGCTTTAAGATCACTGTATTAAAACAATTACTATCCATGAGTATGAGTGTGTGCATGCGTCTATGTGTGTGAGATGTGTAGAGCTTCATGAGAGGCAATATTAACTTAGTATAACAAAGTTCATGCTCAATAATCCAGGTATACTGTTGGATTAATTTAGGATGCAACCACAACTAGAAGGCATGTTGGTTACGTGAAGTGATTCACTGGAGCCACAAGAGTCTGGATGTATCACTGTTGTAGATGTTGGCAAGCTAGCCAACAGTAAGGGCTGATTATGTAAAAATGGTAAGACAATTATTCATGATAATATTAATATATTAGAGTGTACATAAACTATCTATCCATCCATAGATTATCTTTTACCCGCTTCTTCCATTTTGGGTCACGGGGGTCGCCGGTGCCCATGTCCGGCAATCTCTGTGCGAGGGGCGGGATGTACTATATAATATAATATATATAAAACATTTAAAATGCCACAAAGATGTGCCATAATTGAATTGAATAATGTAACTGTTTAAAATTAAAATTAGCCTAATTAGCCAATGTGATAGCTGTTAATTACTGAATTGACTCATAGATATTAGCTTCTGTGGCAGATATTGTTGAACACTAATCATACTACAATTTTACAATAATTTCCTGCGGGATCAATAAAGTTCTATCTTATCTTATCTTAATTTTGCACAAATTATTAAATAGTACAGGTACTGCCTCCGGTTTATGTAATATTTACAGAGTGCAAAATAATATTAGCTATTTGACTTTAGGTTTCACACACCTGACCTATTTAGGTTATGGTTAGCCAATATATCAGTAGAGACAATGTTCATCCTTCAAAGTATCAGCGGGTCTGCAGCGACTTGTGTCGACTAGATAAACGAGTAAATGATAATAAATATATGTTATTCCAATGCATGTATGCAATACTGTTTATTTGTAAA